GCAACTTCGGTGACCGTGGCGTTCATTCGTCAGCCAGATTGGTTCAGCACCCGCGTATTCAAACCAATCAGATTCCATGTTACTAATTGGGTCCTTGTAGTTGAAGGATTTATTCAATCGTTCATCATAGAACTTGTTTCCAACCAGTCCGTGGTTCTCCACATTGCGTCCGGTTGTCATGGCGTAGTGGGAGGGAAATGTGAGCGTTAGCATGACATTCTGCACCTCAGCTTGGAAGCCCTGTTTGCGGATGTGGTCGAAAGCCGAGATATTTCTGCCTTTTGCTGCAGCCATTTCGAGATAGTCGTGCCTGAAGCCATCAAATGAGATAAAAATAACCTTATTTTTGCGCGTAGTCGAAGGCACAAGTGATAGAAGAAGCAAAATCAACCACGTAATCAAGTCCTGGCCCATTCTGACTTGACTGAAAAACCGCGCGCCGTTCCTCGTTATTCATATTTATGGAGTGACCTACAGCGTGCAAGCCACGTGATTGGCTACTAGGTACGCGATGTGTCAGGAGCCTGTGTGTTGGACCTACTTTTACCTAAAACCGTGTCGAGGCTGCACTTAGCCCGAAACATTCGCTTTGAGACCACATGGTTTCTATTTCTAGTCCAAATGATAATGAATCGCTTTCTATAATGCGGGTACGAATGAACATCTATTGATAAATTTGAAGTTAAAGAAGCTTCTTTTAAGTATTTTGCATTTGAATTAGATCCAGTCGTGTTTATCTGGATTCTTCTATAAGATCTCAGTATTTCTAATCGCTTCTTCATTCAGGACGTGTTTTGTGTCAGCTTTTGAATTTGCACACGTGCAGGAAACTAAATTGGCAGAAAACGGTAAGTTTTGTAAATTATGCGATTCCAAATTAGTTGTTAATTTAAGATTTGACAAATTTCGTTCTAAATTGGCAAAATGTGACACATTTTACTTAAGGTGTGCTATTAGTAGCCTAGATTGTTAACCGCTAGGCTGGTTGGTTACAAATTTATTAAATATTTGCTAACCTAGGGTGCATTTGCTTACGGTAAGGTTACGGTGACTGACATTCCCATGCTCAACTGAGGCGAGACATCAAATTAGAGGTCCCTTTCGCTCCGACGGTGATCTACGTGGGTTAACCAAGGCGTGACCCAATGTCATCATCTTCATCATCACGTCTCATCGATTTTCTGCTGCGAATTTGGCACGCATTGCCCTCAGCATTTCAGCTAACTGTTGTTTCAGACCTATAATGAGCAGGTTTGCCACGTGTATCACTGGGTGGTTAATGTTTTCGATGCATTTATAGGCGATTTGGTTGTTTTTGTTACAGGTTCATTAACAAACACACACGCACACATGTGCGAGCTCCCACGAAACACAAGCTGAAGCTGTTTTGCAAACTTGTAGTCTGAGAAAGTTGACAGAAACTGCAAACCATTCTGGAAGTGCCATTTGACTTTGGAAAAATTCGTGCTGCGTCTGGTTTCTAGGGTGTGATTAAACAAAACGACCAAATACGGCCAAGGGTACGCAAACTAAGTTTGTTTCGACTAGTGGTGGTGACGAAACGCAGTTGAAAAAGCGTTCATGTTCGATGGAATTTGGCAGAAATGGTTTGAACTCTAGCTTGTCCCCAGTGGATTGTACTTAACTTGATGGAATAGCGACCGTATTGATTTGTCAAACAACTGGGTTTTTTGTGATTGACGTTTAGAGAAAGTAATCATTTGTTTATCTGGTACATCCCGCGAAATTACGAAAATCAAATAAAACCATTGAGGCAACTGCTGTTTTTTCTGAAGATTATTCGAACGAAGCCTATTAGTGCTAATTCAAGACTCAGTAATTTCAAATAGTTTAATAAAAAGCTGCTTTGAACAGTGCCTCAAAAAATATTTTGAGCCACACTTGGAAAATTTGCCATTTATTTCTGCATAACGCTTTGTTTTACTGCGTCGGTTTTGTTGGAGCGCTGTTTGAACGCTTCTGTAAGATGAGCTGCTGCATCCCCAGTACTGGTGTATAATACCCGAGCGCTAGTATGGAGAACACTGGTACAACATAAAAGGCTTTATTTACCAACCACAAGCCAGAACCACACGTCAGGCACCGTCCATCCGAGTCCGCCAGGCTGGCCACGCCACTTTTTATATGCTGCACCTCACGTCATTCGTGTCCTCTTCTGGTTGGCTGCTTATCTTCCTCGCATGCCATTGGAGCGCAGAGAGACACAGGATTGACTGAGACCTGCGTATTCCAACATGTCTGCGCCCTGATCCGACGCCACAGCAGCGACGGCTGAGGGCGCAGACATGTTGGAATACGCAGGTCTCAGTCAATCCTGTGTCTCTCTGCGCTCCAATGGCATGCGGGAATGGAAGGCAGCCAACCAGAGAAGGACATGGATGAGATGCAGTATATAATGAGCGGCGTGGCCAGTGTGGTGGACTCGGATGGAAGGCGCCTGACGCGTGGCTCTGGCTTGTGACTGGTCAATAAAGCCTGTTCTGTTGTACCAGTCTTTTACCTATTAGGGCTCGGGTAGAATACTGCACTGTAGAATACGCGAGCCTTATTATGAAGAAGACTGCTACAACAGAATAGGCTTTCTTGACCAATCAAAAGCAGAACCAAAATTTAGACCCCGTCCATCCGGGTCCACCACACTGGCTGCGCCGCTCCTTATATGCCACCTCTCAAACGTGTCTGTCTCTGGTTGGCCGCCTATTTTCCTCGGATGCCAGCGTGGTCCAATATGTCTGCGCCCTCATACGTCGCTACTGTAGAATACCCGAGCCCGAATAGGAAGAAGACTGGTACAACAGAACAGGCTTTATTGACCAATCACAAGTCAGAGCCACAATCTCAGACGCCCATCATTCGAGTCCACCACGCTGGCCACCCCGCTCATTATATACTGCATCTCAGGCGTGTCCTTCTCTGGTTGGCTGCTTAACTTCCTCGCACGCCATTGGAACACAGAGAGACACGGGATTGGCTGAGGCCAAGTGGTCCAATATGTCTGCGCTCTGGTCCGTGGTCACTTTACGATACTTCCGAAATTTCATTAATTTATCTTACTGAAATTGCAGGTCATTTTGTGTGAATTTTTTTATGGTCTTTAAAATGTGAATTTATGGAATCATGGCATGACTTCGATTAGACCAATAGAGAATATCTATTGATGTTAATCTTAATAAAGGAGACTGGAATAACTAAAATTCACTCTCTTCAATTAATACTAGCAATCACAAATCAAAGCACTATTCATCAATTTCGACCGATTCCATGAAAAACGACAGTTCAAATGCTACAAGAATGTCATTGTGACAAATGACACAATTGTATATATTCAAATTCAAAGCTGTATATTTGGAGTTAGCGAAGAATTGGTTTCAATCTCGATGTCCTCCACTCCACAAAAGTGATTTAATAAAACGATTTACTGATTACCTTTTAGTACAAATGCGATAAAGGTAGAAATTTATGCTGACCAAGACAAAGACGCGGCTACTTCCTCTAAATTCGAGTAGCCACATGGCCTGAATTCCCTCTTCATGCTACTCAGTAAATTTTGTTAAAATTTGTGATAACGGCCACGTACTCATCAGCACTTGGCTGAGACAATGGCTGGTTAAAATTCAAATACGTTTTAAAGATCTGGCACAGAAGTGCATCTCAAAAGCGTTGAATAGCTGCCTTCGACAGTTATTTTCAATTGTGCCTAAACGTATGGAACAATTGTGATATTAAAGAACTAGGTGGAAAGTGGCACTGATTGTGTTTATTTCGTGCTGGGACTAATCAGGAAACTGTCGTCTGAGTACGTTCAAGCTTGTGATTTGGTGAGTTGCTGGATTGTTTAACGCTGATGCAACTTTAAACGCGCGGTGACTTTTAAACTGAGTAATTATACAAAATATAAATCAAATATCATTTACAAGTTTGCCCCAATATCATATGATATTCGGCGTCCCTTTTGCATAACTCTTACGCTGTACCACCTAAATGATGACATAATCTTGCATCTTGTCGCCATGGAGTGTCTAAACCAATTAGATTTTTCCACCAATGATATTTTTCTTCTTTCTTTTTTAAGGCATGCGACATATTGTGATTGGTTGAGCTAATGAAATTAAATAGAAGAACTGAAACTTCAAGCTGCTGAACGAGTGCAATTCCCTTTTGGCACTTAATTTTGAAATCAGCAATTTCGTGGAGAATTCCAGAAGACATTTCTAAACCATTTGGACAAGCAAACGTCACAGTGTCTAATTTTCGTGAATTGGGAGTTGCTGCCTCATCAAATGATGACCTCAATTTTTACCACAAAGTTTGCCAAAATGAAAACAAAATTGACCAAGAAAGTGCGCGATATCTTCCATTATTGACAATGCGAGTCAGCACGTTGCCATGACAACACGACCTATCCGACAATGGCCTGATCAGAGTGTCAGCAATTCTACTAGGTGGAATCAGATTTATAAAATATGCTCTGTAGCTGCGTCTAGCAGGTAATTTTAGATTCAGTAAAATGTGTTGAATAATAACCGTCAGATGGCCGTGATTTTAACCGCTCTGATGAGAAGCAGTACAGAAGCAGGGACTTATAATTTCAGGCAGTTGTGACTTCAAACTGAGGAAGCTGGGGAATTTCGCCGAATTCTAAATCAACTACAATACGTTCTGGTTCCCTTGTGAATATTGATGACGGATACTGGTGTTGCCGAGGTTCCAAATCAAATGTCTCGGCGATATGGTCATGTCAAGAGCATGTTAACAGCATCAAATTACCCAGTTGCCTATCCATCGCATGCAGCAGCATCAAGGGCACCAAGGCGCAGTCAAAAGACATTGGATTAAGTGGACGGGGCTGAAGGTCAGACGTCAAGCAAAGCAGCCAATAACATTTCATCCCTCAAGGTCAAAGTTAACCTCCTCGGTTGGTTGAAATACTAGCTCTATTTGCAAGGAATCGATTGAAATCAAATGACTCCAGTACAATCTTGAAAAAATCTGCATTTTTTTCTAACAGTACAGTACAAATTAAATGAGCGTAATACACCCTATCAAGGCGGATTCACTCAGTCATGAAGTTGTTTAAATTAGAAAAAAAGCGGTGGAATTAAAAGCAGAGACCTTAACTTTTTTATTCGCAAATCCGGACATCATATTGTACCTATAAAGAATCCAGCATATCTCATGACAGCCGCCATTTCGTTTCCCCTCATTTCCGGACAAAACTAATTAGCCATGGCATCCTCCAACGATGACTTGGTGCTTGATATTTAACTTCTCTGAATACGCCTTTACATGCACCTGCACCTGTGTTCATTAATTTATTCACCATCACCAACAGGTCTCAGCGCAAAGATTATCATTTCGTCCAACTGTCTACCGCTTCCACTTCGAGCAACGATCCAGTTTCAAACTAAAACTTGTGCTGGCTAATTTCACCTTGTGCCTCATTCGCTCCAAACACATGATTTGATCAATGCAGCGCAAAATTCAACATCAAAGTAGAAAACACCACACGTTTGCGTGTTTAACAATTTCGTTCAGTGTCAAATGAGTGACCCACACCGACACTCGTCATTTGCTGCTCCTCTGTAGGTTCTTGACATCACTCACCAGAATGTTGACGTCTGACGAATTTCGGAGTTGCACCGCATTCTTTGTACGTCCTGACACATCAACTCGTCAACGTAGCCACCGAAAGAGCATGGAAGCTGGCATTAGACAATGGTGGCAGAAGATGCATGTGTTTTTAGGCAAACAAGTGTTGTGGGAGTTTGCAGAGCAAATTCAATCGGATTTCATCCACC